TTGTTGGTTCGGGCTATTAGGTCGGCCAGCCAGTGGCCATTAGATCAATTTAATATGGCCCATACATTTTCCTTTAAATAAGGAGGCTAGTTGAGTGAGATTTCACCATTTGCTTGGTGTCCGTTTTACCGACCTAAATAAGAACGCATAGTCTATCTGTGTTCATTGCCCGTGCCCCATTAGGGTGCTGACATCATCCATCATAAGTCCATATACAGGACAAGTTCCAGGGTTGACTAATTGAGGCTGTGTGCGAGACGATACAGGGAGTCTAGTTTGGCATGCCCTCAAGATGGAGTCGATGGGCAAACTGGCCCAACCTCTTGGTGTTGTTTTGTCTCCCGAGGTCAATGCCATGTGGAGCCTATTGGTTCGGGCTTTTAGGTCGGCCAGTTAGCGGCCATTGGATCAATTGAATATGGCCCGTACATTTTACTTTAAATAAGGAAGCTAATTGAGTGAGACTTCACCATTTGCTCGGTGTCCGTTTTGCCCTTAAGTCAAATGGTGAAGTTTCGCTCAACCAACCTCCTTATTTAAAGGAAAATGTACGTGTCAGATTTAATTGATCCAACAACTACTGACTAGTTGACCTAACAGCCCGAACCAATAGGCTCCACATGCCATTGACCTCGGGAGACGAAACAATGCCAAGAGACGGGCCTGCTTGTCTATCAACTCTGGCTCGAGGACATGCCAAATTGGACCCCCCGTACCGTCTCGCGCACGACCTCAATTAGTCAACCCTAGCACTCGTCCTATATATGGACCTATTACGGATGACGTCCGCACCCGTATGGGGCACGGGTAATGCACGCGAATAGCCTATGCCCRTACTGGCCATGATCGCACACCCTTGGCCTGGAATGATCCTTTATTGACACGAAGGATGAATGGAGGAGTTGTATCCGCACAACCGCTAAGAAGAGTTCCGTAGCCAAGGTCGACCCCTCCACGCAAATCCACCAAACTTCTTTGGCCAAATTTGAGGCCTACACAATTCGCCAACCGACCTCGGCCACTACGTTCTTGAGAGTGGGAGATAAGTGATGTAGGAATATTTGGCTGACCTGTAGATCTTGAAACATGGTGTCGGTCGGATGCATCTTGGCCATCCATCAACTACTATCAACCGTTCCCAACTGTTCCTCTTTTAAGGCAACTCCAACTATAAAAGGAGCTCTCACATTGAGGTAAAGACGCACAAACTTAAGCTTTACGCTTCAAGCTTCCTCACTTGTTTGGTTTGATGCTTCATAGCTCTCGGCTAACTTGACCGTTGGAGTCTTCACCCCTCTTCCGGGGCCTTTGACGTTTTCTTTGTCTTAGTTGGTAGCAACAAGTGGCATGCCTTTAAATACTTGTCGGGGAGTGTCGTTGTGCTCCTCACTTGAGGGACACCTGTTGTGTCTTGAGGTTGTCCTCGATTGAGCTTCTAGGGCGCATTCCACAATCCTTGCACAAGAGGCGGGGCAAGTGGTGTGATCCATTGAATTTCGCTTGGGATTTACCACGTGGCCCCGATTGTCTGAGATTCACGGTGAGCACTGGCACTCACTTCCTCTTCAATTATGGGTGTGCCACATTGCCACCCTCCATGTCAGCCGAGCTTAGGGCTCATTTGGTGGTGCAAATGGATCGGATCATGATCCATTCCAATCTATGATCCGATCTTATTTGGTCAAATTCGGATCTCCCCTATCCAATACGAGAAGATCCAATTCGATATATATGCTATATGTTTATTTATATAAATACAAATAATACATATACTATTTATATTGTATTTTTGTTAATTTTGTTATATTATTTTTTTATAAAAAACATTTATATATATGATAAAAATAATAAAAAATACTTATATTTTTTTTCTTTTCTTTATTTAAATTGATATATTCTATTTTTTAATAATTTATTAATTTTTAAAGAAAACAAATTAAATCGGATCAGATCCGAATATCTGACTTCCCAAAGATTTGAATTCAGATTCATGCCAATCAAATCGGATCGGATCTACGATTAACAATATCTGATTGGATTTGAATATACCCTTATTCGAATCCAATCCAATCCATTTGCATCCTATTCATTGTAGTACACTTATTTGGCCAGGTCTCAATCCACGTTATTGCCCTCATGACGGTTCAACCAGCGTTATTTATATATTCTTTACCCAAATA